CATCCTGCCATCTCCCTGCTGCCTGCACACTGTCCTCATCCTGCCATCTTCCTGCTGCCTGCACACTGTCCTCACCCTGCCATCTCCCTGCTTCCTGCTCCTGTGCCTCTCCTGCCATCTTCCTGCTGCCTGCACACTGTCCTCATCCTGCCATCTTCCTGCTGCCTGCACACTGTCCTCATCCTGCCATCTCCCTGCTGCCTGCTCCTGTGCCTCTCCTGCCTTCTGCTGATCACCACTTTCCTTCATACACATTGTTTGCAAAACTGCACCTATACTTTTAGTGTAATGTTCTGTAGCTCTTAATACTAATATTTCGTACTTACTCTTCTTTTACCACCCAAAAAGTGTCTGATGTCTCCATCTTTCTTTTTCCTCATAGTGTATCTGTGAATAAAATCTAATCTATATTTAACAAAACAGTTAAATATCTTTGGGGGGGTTTGGGTCTTGATCGGGGGGTACAGTACCACCAGTACCCCCTGTAATTCGAACCATGGTTGCAGGGAGAAAATTAGGGCTTTTTCCAATGAAACCTTCCCCACTCCCACTCCACCAAGGAGTGCACTCCATTTGTAGTCTCACTCACAGCTGAATGGAGTAACCTTCCTTATGGTGTAGGGTATGAATATAGCAGCAGGCTTTAGGACAAACTTCCCTTTTTCTGGTGAAAATAGGAACTATCCTAACTGTCGTTACCATGGTTTCTTATGAACATATTTTGGAATTGGCAATAATTGCCATGATCCATGAGCTATTAGAAATTGAGAGATCTTGCAGAAGGTGCAGACATTACAAGTGCATCTTAAAAAATAGAATATCGTGGAAAAAGTGCAATATATTCCGTCAGTCATTTAAGAAAGTGAAAATGTATTATAATGTAGACTCATTACACGCAAACTAAAATGTTTCAAGCATTTTTCCATTTTCATGATTATGGCCTACAGCTCACACAATGTAAATAAAAACACCTCATTATTAGAATCCCTCATTTTGAGTGAAATTACTATTCAAACAGTATAAATATTGTGTACCTCTTAGTCTAGTTCAGTACACACAGTCACAGTCATGGAGAAGACTAACAGTTGTCCAGTAGATGATCATCGAGATCCTCTGTGAAGAGAGTAAGCCACAGAAGGTCACTGCTGAAAAGGCTGGCTGTTCACAGAGTGCTGAATCAAAGCATATTAATGGAAAGCTGACTGGAAGGGAACAGTATGATAGGAAAAGGTGCACAAGCAACAGGAATGAGCCTTGAGAGGACAGTCAAGAAAAGTCAATTCAAGAACTTGGGAGAGCTTGGGATAATTGGACTGAAGCTGGTGCATGCAGAGCCACCACGCATGGCCGTCTTCATGAAAGGGGCTACAACTGTCATTCCTAATAGCAAGCCACTCCTGAACCAGAGACGACGTCAGAAACGTCTTATCTGGGCTAAGGAGAAAAAGAACTGGACTATTGCTTAGTGGTTTGGTCTTTTCAGATGAAAGTAAATTTTGCATTTCATTTTGACATCATTTGGTCTTAGAGTCTGGAGGAAGAGTGGAGAGGCAGAGAATCAAAGGTATTTGAAGTCTAGTGTGAAGTTTTCATAGTCTATGATGATTTGGGGCACCATGTCATCTGCTGGTCTTAGTCCTCTGTGTTTTATCAAGTCCAAAGTCAAGCTGCTATCAAAGCAACCTTGGCTTCACTAACATCTCAGCACCAAGTGAGGTGCCACAAGCTGATCGACTCCATGCCACGCCACATTGATGAAGTAATTTGTGGTAAATGAGCCCAACCAAGTATTGTCTGTATAAATTAACATATTTTTCAGAAGTTGGACATTTCTGTATTGTAAATCCTTTTTTGGTTGATCGTAAGTAATATCCTAATAATTTAAGATACTGGATTTCTGATTTTCAAGAACTATCAGCTATAATCATCAATATTAAAACAAAAAAGGCTTGAAATATTTCACTTTAGTGTAATGAATATAGCATAGGCTATATGAAGATTTTTCTCTTTTGAATTAAATTATGAAAATAAATTACCTTTTTCATGATATTCAAATTTTTTAGGATGCACCTGTGGATTATGTGGCAGTTCTATATAGTCATTTTTCATTCTGATGTTTATGAATCATTTCGTTTTTCCCACAATCCCTGTAAATGTAACACTACAATCAAATGAACACGACTATTGTTTTCTAAACCAGAGAAAGGTATATTTCTATATTTCTTAATGTCTATATAACAGTATTAAATGTCTAATCTTAGTTTGAGCCATTTAGGAGGAACTTACATTTGTACGGAACACCTTGCATGACAAACAAATCACTCTACACGTTGTAAGTCAGCATTGATGCTGACTCAGTGTTGGGGGGCTCTATAGCTCACTTTCACTCCGCCCTTATTGGTTTGGAATGGCACTTGATGTAGCAGACCCTCCCCACAAATGTGCGAACAAAGTGGAAGTGGGTTGGGAGAGGATGTAGAAGATAGTTTGGTAAAGGTTATCAGGAGGCAGATGTTATCAAGAGGCTTCAAAGTTGCAGACACTCAGTTTCATTGGTCCAATGAAGTGATGTCAATGAAGTTTTTCTTTTTTGTAGCCATTTCCTTTGTGTTCATAAGGTTTTGGTTTTTCTTTCTTTTTTCCCTTTTTTCCAAATTATGGATTCAATTAGCATACAGTGTTAACAGTTTTATTGTTTGGCTTCAGTTAAAGTATGTTTGGCAAATATTCAGTCTATCAATGGTATTATTGCAAGGAATTACTGGAATCTCCACAGATTCCGGTGCCTTCTATGCTACATATTAGAGAAAATAAGAAAATACTTCTGTGAAACATATGTATGTTGTATTTTTAGTTAACAGATTTCAGTTCCGGGATTTAGCACTTGCCACTATATCATTACATGCAACTTGGCCTGATTGGTTAAGGTTAGGGGAGCCTTTTACTATTGGCTGAGCAGGCGGTTGCTTAGGGCCCCTGAATTACCTGTGTTGGGTAGGAAGTGAAATAGTCACCAGTTTTTCAGTAGGGCTTCCCCCAAATTAAGCTGTGCCTGAGGCCCATGGCACTTGCCCTGACTAATCTATCAGATCGAGCATTGCAGTGTCGAATAATTTGGGCTCCCAACTTTACTCCTTGATGGGCACTTATAAAGTGCCCATTTAAAAATGCTCTTTACCATCATTTATGTCATTTTTACACTTTTTAAAGGTAAAAAAGTGTATCAGCTGACAATATTTTTGAGATGGCTTTTATTTGCATTTAGATTTAAATTGCATATCAAAATGTACCTCTAATAAGAAATATTTTGTGTAATGTATAATGTAAACCCCATTTTTGTTGTTGAGCATCAGTTCCCTCCAGAGAAAATTTTGTTAATTTGGTTTTCAAGATAACATAAAACAAAATTTAAGACACAACACATTTAAAGTCTGTATTGCAAAGATCTGCAGAAATTTGCCATTACACACACATTTTAAATTTTTGTAGTTTTAATTAATTTGGTCATAATCCTAGAAAGTCCTTCACATCTTATGAATGCAATGAAATGCAATTCTATGGATCCTTTGAAATACTGTATGTTTCTTTGATAACATTTTATAGTGATTTATATGGTTTTCTAGCATCATGAAATGCACAGTTAGTCTGAACAATTCAGTTAATAGTTCAGTCAGAGTTTTGCTACTGTTTATTTTAATTGTGTTATGTATCTTTATTTTAGTCATTCTGAAATGGCTGGAGATTCAGTTGGCCAAGTGTGGAGGGCTAGGTCAGGGTGCATTTTCTCTGTATATATAGGTTACCTGCTACGATGGGATATACATGGTATAGATGTGAACTGGATGGGTACCTTTCCTTACTTATGCTTTGTATGTGTGAGAGCCCTGTAATGTGATAACTCTCCATTCAGTCTGCATTAATTCTGTTCAATGTTCCATTTATTTCTTACCCCTTGTCTTATGAGTGAACAGTATAGAAATAAACACAAAGATCATCCCAGTATTCAGAATCAGAAAAAAACTTTTTTGATCCCATGAGGAAACTGCTTATGCTACAACTGCACAGACAGTCAGACAACATTAGACACGACGAACACTATAAAGCAGGCAGGCAAGTTAAACAGAAATTAAATGAGAATAACAAAACATAACAGGTATCAAATAAAGTACAGTATACCTCTGACACACCTAGTTAATCACCTAGTATTATAATGTGGTATTATTAATATTGCACGTGCTGTAGTATTGCACAATCAGCAAGACTGCAGAAGTTACTACACGAATTACCAGCAGCAGGCCTGTTATTGCGCAAACTTAGAAGTATATAGGAACTAGGGCTGCGCATGATTTGGGGAAAATATCGAATCGCGATTTTTCTGACAGAAATTGCGACAATTTATGACAAGAGGTGTTTGGGGAAGGAGCAGTGAGCATGGGAGGCGAGGCTGATGGTGGGACCCAACGGAGCATTTTTAGCCACAGAGGTATGGCTACTGGGCAGGTTGGGATGAGGCCAGATATCAAACCTGTTAAAGAACTGGTTAGATTTGTTGGCCCTCTCCCTATCACCCTCAAACCCCCAGCCTCAATTCAGCTATTAATTGCAATGCTAGTATGACTTAAAGCACACTATTTGAGATCTTATTTAGTGCAATCTCCATGTGTGCACACGTGTTGAAAATGTGCACATTTTTGCATTTACTGATTTTTATTGTCATTTTTTGCAGTTATGCACATCAGAAGTAGCTATAGTACATTATTAATGTCACTTGTGTTCTGATACGTTCTTCCTAAACTTCCTAAGGCATGACCAGCTCCACAAAAAACAGATCATATCAGATGAAACCTGCTGCCTGCAGTCTCTAGCAGAACTTATGATCATTAACCTACAAATTTCTACTCTGGTAAGACACCTGCCTGGTGCTTTTCTTCCAGCAAAATTGTGGAATTGCTGTCAAGTTGATGCTTCACCACACTACCAGGATAAACTCCATTGGTGAAATCGACTATATGTGACCAGAACACATTTTACAATTTTTTCTTAATCGCTTAAATTATAGATTGGCTTGATTGGTTAGTTTGGCCCTTACAAAACACATGTGCTGCTAAATCTTTTATGCAATTTAAAACCCTAAAAGTCTCCCTTATGTTACACCTAACTCTTGATTATAAAAATTGAACTCCTTGCTGGAACAAATGTAAAATGCACCAGTCCCTCCTACTACAATAAGGGGCACACATATACTAATTACTATCGTTTTTTTTTTTTTTTTCGAGGGAGGGGGTGTGATTTCAGGAGTATGTTCAATCACATTTTTCATGTTTGCAATTACATTTTTATTCATAAGTGAGTAGACTTACCCATCATTACCATCCATCCATCATTTTCTATAACCACTTGTCCTATTCAGGGTCAGAAGCCAATTGCAGAGGCAAGACAGTTATGAACAATTTACCCAAGATGGGGCTCCAATTGCCATCGCAAGGCATACTCAAACAACATTCTGCATAATTATCAATCAGGGAAAAAATATTTCAAACCAGAGACTGGCCCTAGTAAATAGTTTTTAAAAATCATTTTTTGCGCAATTAAATAGGTTAATAATAAATTTGTGTTAGCAGCGATGAATCCATAATGTAACTGTAACATGTATGATTAGCTTAATTCAGTTTTTTTACGTTTTAAGTAATTGCTTTAGACGTGTATGCTTGTTCTTGTCTAAATACGTGCAATACATGAATAAAAGAAACATTCTATTCTAACTGAACTGCCTCTGTAGCCATTTTAATATTAAATGTGTGTGTAATATAAAATCCATTATAGACACGCAAATATAAATTTAGCACAAATAACACAACCAAGCTACGAAGTTTCAACTTCGCAATGTATCTTACTATCTTAATATCAACATGAGAAACGTATTATAGTACTTCTCACAGGGTAATAATGACAGTGTTGAAATCAAGAATCACAGACGCCATTTTGAAAACAAGTCGGTGACCCTATTCAGTAATAAATCTGTATCAATTTTGAAAATAAATCTCTGATATTATCAATTGGGAATTGAATGTATATGCAAACTTAATAGTGAAAACTACATTAAGTAAGCGAGAAAATTAATTGTTATTGATTGAGGATTAAAATGTATAATAATCTAATAATACTGCGGTGTTCCATATACGCGTGTTCAAATAGCTTGAGTAGTTTAAAGCATTGAGATCTTGTTTAATAAATATGCGGGGGGCTAATGAGTTAATCCAAAGATTATTACAAAGAAAAGGTTTAGATCGCGAACTAATTTCATTTGTGTGACGTCATTCAACGCTACTTATCGAAAGCTTTTATGATACTGGCTACCTTCCTATACAAATATAAATTGCGAATTCAATGATAATTTTTCCTAAATAAACATCCATAAGTTTCTAAATCTTAAAGTAGGCCTATTTTTTTTTACCAAAGTAATTCTATTCCGGATACAAGACAGTACTGCAGCTTAATCTAAATATTCATTGTGTAATATTAGGGTAAATGATACTGAAAAGTGTCTGAGCTCTTCAGACTTTAATCTTTTTAATTCGGAGAAGCAATGTGCAGAAATTCAGAGAAATCTAATGCCAAATTGGGGTTATGTTCCATTGGACAGAATGAATGAAAAAAATATTAAACAAAATATCTAAATATTTGTTTTTTATGATAATACGATTTTACCATTTCACAAAGATACACGTTAGGACATTATATAACCGCGCTAAATTTATTTAATAACATACCTGTATCATCGTAATACATTTGCATAATATGTAAAACTATATTTTAAAATATAAAAGTTTAAGAAATATTTTAAATAGTTTTTGGATATTTCAATTTTATTTTTCGTAACAAACCCAGGTATCTAAATTCATTAATCAGAGACAAGTTTTCAAATTACTGACGGCTACTTTCAGCAAATTTGATCACATCACATCAAAATCCTCACGGCAGCCTCGTTCCACCCCAGGTAACGGAAGTTGTCGAGGGTGTTTGCGCCACTTCCTGGCTCTGACCATTCGCACATTTGCTCGGTTAGGCACTTCTATGTCTGCGAGTCGGACGCGCTTACTACAGACTCCAGAAAGTGAACCACCATGGCTGTTGTTTACACAGTAAATGGAGGCCGTTTGCAGGCTGACGATGACGGATTGCCTTCGGAAGATCGGCCCGTAAGCGTTACATCTGTTGTTTGGCCCTTGCTAGACAGCACCAAAACGATTAAAGTGGAAGACACAAGTGGGCACGAAGATCCTGTTCCCACCGACTCATTATCCTCGGGAGACCATGCTGCAGCGACGCATGTTGCTCCACTGATTACAATCAAAGAGGAGCGTATCGAGGACGAAGAGTATTTTCAGATAAAGTTAGGTGATATTGGAGGGAGTTTGGACGACAAGATCGAAAACAAGGACGGATCAGACAAGGACAGCGTTAATGGTACGTTATTCCACCACTCATTAAAACAAGGTAGCTAGCTCGTTGTAATGAAAACACATTTGATGTAATGCATTTCCGAAGGTTATTACTGAAAGGCGTAGTTTAATTGCTAAACCAGGATGTGTTTTCTCAGGGTCGATGTTTGGTTATGATATGATGAATCTAGGTAACTAGGTCGCTAGTTAGCGTTAGTTTTTGCAAGGTAAGCAGCGAGCTGCCTTTCAGGTTCGGTTACAGCACAAAACGTAAATACTCTTATTGCAGAGTCTAAAGGGTTGGGTGCTTCTTACGATTATATCTAGCTGATTTATACAACTGTTTTACTGTGATAAGTCCCGTTGTTTCTAGAAAAATAACTTTGGTTAACTACATAAATATTTCTTATTTTATTACGGTTCAGTTGTTTTCCGTATTAATTTTCCTATTGTGGCATTTTATCGCGAGAACAGGAAAGGGCGCTCGCCCGACGGTCAGCGCTGGTGACGTCACTTGGTGACGTGCAATCAGCATTGGCTCATTGATTTGAGCGAAGTGACATCTCCTGAACTCCCAGCAATGAACTGTAAAGGGTATGCGGTCTACCCATAATCATGAAACGTTTCCTTCTGTTTGTGCTGTGGATTTTATTTCAATATCCGTAATTCCAACTGAATCTGTACTATTCCCCTGGCTCGCTACACTACTGATTAATGCAGTTGTGGAAATTAAATTTGCGCAGTTTACTGCTTAATTCTTACACCAGAGCATCAACCTAAACAAGCTTAAAATACATGATACTCTGACTATTACTTTGAACTGGTAGTTGCAGTTAATGACTATCAATTTGTAGGGGTTTTTTGGCAAGCATTTCCATCCAAAGCAACATAACTTCTGAGAAAGCAGGGTCGGGCGATATATGGAACTATTGCAGGGTTGCCTAGTCTCATGCATCTGGCATGACACTCCCTTTCAGACTCTCTGGGTCATGCAAGAAATCTTACGGCAAATCTATTTTACTACATTATAAATGTAAAATTTTCTACATCAAAAGCATTGGTGTAGTTTGCAAACCCTATGAACTATTTACAAGGTAATAAAAGCGTTACATACATGTTTTGAATTGAAAATCTCACTCCAACCAGCTGAACAAAGTTTGCAGCACTACCTATTCACAGTTAAGGGCCTTGCACAGGGCCCCACTGTAAAATCCCTGCCATGTCTGGGCTTTGAACTGGTGACCTGATCACAGATACAGCATCCTAACCCACTGAGCCACACACTATTGTTATGCTTTAGTGTTGTACCGGTGTACACTGTACTAACACAATCTTTATTTGTATTAAGATTGCAAACATTTTTATGGTAATCTGAAAATGGCTTTTGTTTGTTTAATAATAAAGCTATGTTTTAATAAGAATTTTAATGTAAAGTTCAGTGAGTCTCATTATTAAACTAATGAATTATGACAAGTATGCTGCTGGTGTAGTACCATAAAGATCTGGATGCGATACATGGTAGTGTCAAACAGTTGGTTAGTGTAATCTGAAATTCACTTTAAAGTAGTTATTTTGAATTGCTAGGCTTAAGCGGGAAAACACTAATTTGATACATAGTAAATATGCTTGGGCTATAATGGTACATGCATTTTTTTGTGGTGTTATTTTGTGGAATGCATATTGAATCGAAGTAAATGCATTTCTTTAGACAGACGGAACCTAAATTCACAAGTAGGTGTTCGACACGGAAAAACACTATGCCTTTGCCGTTTCGTTTATGATCATGATGCAGTCAAATTTGTGATTTTATTTTGCATATTTTTTACAATGTATGTCTCAGCTTTTGTTATACAGGCATATTAATAGACATTGCTTTTTGTTTGGTTTACAACTTTCTAATTATTTGCAGTTTTCAAAAAAGATCGGAATAGAAGTGTGTCATGAAGTGTCTCATTCGCTAATAGTAGCTAAAAAAAAAAAGGTCGGAAAACAGTGGAGAAAACCCATTGCTTAAATAGATAAAGAAGCCAAAACTCTGAAGCTCAGGATTCAGGACAATGGCTCCGATGTCGCAAGTGCTGCGAGAGGTTATGCTCCATTAAAAATGAATAAATAACAGCAGTTTTGAAGTCAGTTTTCTTGGTGTTAACAGAGGAATGGCAGTGGGAAGCTGCTCTAAATTTCCCGTATTTTGGGTCGGGATCTTGGGGTTTTACAGTCTGCTTTAAAATGAGTTTATATTTGTAAACATAGGCTATATACACTCACCTAAAGGATTATTAGGAACACCTGTTCAATTTCTCATTAATGCAACTATCTAATCAAC